CTCATGGAGCTGCCAACTACATCCCCCCTCTGCAGCCCTGGCCTCTCCCCCAGCTCACACAGGTGCCCCATCCTTGCAGGCACAGACACGGCAGCACTTGCTCAGCAGCCCCTGTTTGCATTGCACAGAGCAGGGGGAGCATCCCCATGTTGTTGGTGTGGGGACATGAACCTGAGGGAGCACAAATTCCATCAGCCCCTGGGGCCAGCAAGGGTTGGGGGACACCAGGGAAACCACTCAGCTTTGTCCTGGCCTCTGCAGTCAGCCAGAAAGTTTGTTCCCATCAGCTGGGAGTTTCCTGTGCCACTACAGACGCTGTTGCTCAGAGCCAGGGCTGCTGGCCGCCACCTCCAAACTGCCCTGAGCATTTCCTTTGCTTCACATTTGCTTTCTTTATACCCCCTACTTCACATTTCTTCTAATTGCCCACCCCAGGGGGCCCACAACTGGACACAGCACTTGAGGTGCTGCCCAACCAGTGCCCAGCACAGGGGAAGAATCCCTGCCCTGCTCCTGATGGCCACACCATTCCTGATACAGGCCAGGAGCCATTGGCCTGCTTGCCCACCTGGGCACACTGCTGGCTCATGTCCAGCCTGCTGCCCATCAGTCCCTGCAGGTTCCTTTCTCTCTGGCTGCTCTCCAGCCACTCTGTCCCCAGCCTTTAGTTCTGTAGGGGTTGTTGTGGCCAAAGTGCAGGACCCGGCACTTGGACTTGTTAAACCTCACCTTGTTCAATTTGGCCCCTGGATCCAGCCTGTCCAGAACCCTCTGCAGAGCCCTCCTACCCTCCAGCAGTTCAACACTCCCAGCCAAATTGGTGTCACCCCTGTTTCATAAGGTCCCAGAGTGTCCCAATGGTCTCCATGATTCTATGAGGCCTCCCAGAGTCACAATGTCCCATTTGTTCCATGGGACCCCTGGGTGTCACAAAGTCCTTGGGATCCTTGGGCCCTTCAGCGTCACAATGGCCCTTGGTCCCCCAAGGCCCTGCAGTGTCACAATGGATCCTTGGTTCCATGAGGTCTGGCAGTGCAGCAATGCTCTCCTTGCCTCCACAGTGTCACAAGGGCCTCTTGGTCCCAAGCACCACCACGGTGTCAAACATGTTTCCTTCATTCCAGGAGTCCCTGAGGAGCAGCATTGGCCCCTTGGTTCCATGGAGCCCTGCAGTGTCACAATGGCCCCATCATGACACCAGGTTCTGCTCTGTCACAATGCTCTGCATGGTTCCACAAGGCCCTGCAGGGTCACAGAGGCTTCTTGGTTCCATGAGGCTTCAGAGTACCACAATGAATTCTTGGTGCTGCAGTGTCACAATGGAGCCCTGGTGACACAAGATCCTGCAGTGTCACCAGGGACCCTTGGTTCCATGGGGCACCACAGTGTCACAATTGTTCCCTCAGTTCCCAGAGTCCTTGCAATAGAGCAATGGCCCCTTGATTCCATTGTCTCCAGGCTCTCCCAAGGGTTTCCTTAGTTCCTCAGTGGCACAATGGCCCCTTGGTCCCAGAATGCCCTGCAGTGTCACAGTGGCCTCTGTGGTTCCACCAGGACCCAGACTGCCACCATGGACTCCTTTCTCCCATCCAGCCCCACAGTGTCACAATGGCCCCTTGGCTCTGTGGGGCAGGCTGCCATGTCATACATAGTGTCACCATGGTCCTCTTAGTGCCTCCAGGTCCTGCAGGGTCACAATGGCCCCTTGCTTCCTCAGGGTCATGCAGTGTCACAGTCATCAACCAGGCTGGAAAAGACGGTGGAGAACATCAAGTCCAACCTGGGACTCAACACAACCTTGTCACACAGACCATGGCACTCAATTTATATGGTTTCTAATCAAACTAGGTCTTATGATGTCTCAGAGATCCTATCACACCTGAGGTAGCCCAGCTACTTCAAATGGCATAAAATTAGCAGGATGACTTCTGAGGTAGTGTTGGAAATAGAAAAGTTTTATTAAAAGACAAAATTACAAACCTTTTGCAGAGAAAAACAGAGCTAGGGGCAAGAGGTTCTTGCTCCAGCTAAAAATACCCAAGCAAATTGATTAATTCTTTTGTTTTCTTCTTTTTCTAGTGAATTACTTAGGTGGGATCTTTTGGCTTGTGTCTAATTGGGTGGCTTTAGTTTTGGGTTGAAGTCCCAAAGGTCCTATGAGGCATCTTTTTACCAAATTCAGGAGATAAACTTCCTGGCTTTGTTTCTGCTTAAAGGAGACAAAGGATAATTTGGTCACTCTGTCAACAGGGGGCACATTCCTACACTCAGTGCCACATCCAGTCTTCCTCTACACACCTCCAGGGACAGTGACTCACCCACCTTCCTGGCAGCCAATTCCAATGCCCAATAACACTTTCTGTGAAGAATATTTCAAATGTCCAATCTAAAGGTCCCCTGGGGCATCATAAGGCTTTGTCCTCTTTTCCTGTCACTGCACCATGAGAAAAGAGACATGCTCCAACCCCTCCATGGCCTTCCTAAACTGGGGGCCCCAGAACTGGACACAGCACTCGAGGCGCTGCCCAACCAGTGCTGAGCACAGAGGAAAAATCACTGCCCTGCTCCTGCTGGCCACACCATTCCTGATCCATAGGAGTCCTAGGGCATGGATAAAAGAAATGGTGGGGAGGGGGTGAGAATAAAGTGCAATTGATTTTTACTCATGAAGGATCCATCCCCATGAGAGCAGCAATGAACAGAAATGNGCCACCACCTGCACACGCCCATGTTCTTCTTCCTGCTCAACCTGGCCCTCAGCGACCTGGGCTCCATCTGCACCACTGTGCCCAAAGCCATGCACAATTCCCTCTGGGACACCAGGGACATCTCCTACACTGGATGTGCTGCCCAAGTATTTTTTTTTGTTTTCTATGCTGTAACGGAGTATTTCCTTTTGACCGTCATGTGCTACGACCGCTACGTGTCCATCTGCAAACCTCTGCACTATGGGACCCTCCTGGTCAGCAGAGCTTGTGCCCACATGGCAGCAGCTGCCTGGGCTAGTGCCTTTCTCACTGCTCTTGTGCACACAGCAAATACAATTTCCCTGCCTCTGTGTCATGGCAATGTCCTGCGCCAGTTCTTCTGTGAGGTGCCCCAGATCCTCAAGCTCTCCTGCTCCAAATCCTATATCAGGGAACTTAGGCTTCTTGCTGTCACTGTGTGTTTCAATTTCGGTTGTTTTGTGTTCATTGTTTGTTCCTATGTGCAGATCTTCAGGGCTGTGCTGAGGATCCCCTCTGAGCAGGGATGGCACAAAGCCTTTTCCACCTGCCCCCCTCACCTTGCCGTGGTCACTCTGTTCATCAGCACTGGCATGTTTGCCTACCTGAAGCCCCCCTCCATCTCCTCCCCATCCCTGGATCTGGCCCTGTCAGTTCTGTACTCGGTGGTGCCTCCAGCCCTGAACCCCCTCATCTAAAGCCTGAGGAACCAAGAGCTCAAAGCTGCAGTGTGGAGACTGAGGACTGGAAGGTTACAGAAACATTAAACTGCTGTTCAGTTTCTTACAATCACTTGTAATAAAAGTCAATTTTGATAATTTTTGTTTTTTTTATTGAATGTTTTTTCTTCTAATTTTTTAGTATAGACAAAAAAGAAATGTAATTGTTTGTGCCATATCTAATTTTGTTTCTCTCCACCTTCTCTATGGTCACAGACTGTGTCTATGAGGGGCGTTGCTCTCAGTGCCTTTAAATGAATTAGAGGACCTCCCAGCAAAGTTTTCTGCAGAGATGCTCTTTTGTTGCCTTCCCTGGAGCTGCAGCAGCAATGTCTATGTGCAGAGCTGGGGGCAGATCAGTGCTGGCCCAGCAGCTGTGCCCAGCAGCAGCAGCACTTGGTGTTGCCAGTGCTGCTGCCGTGGCCCTGCCCCGCTGCCCTNGTATGTTATGAAAGAAGGGGGCAGAATCCCAGGTATCAGCCATTGGTTTGAGGGGAAATCAAGGATCTGTGTAGGGCAGCTAAAGATCATAGGAAAGACTTACCTTGTTTTAATGGCCTAATGAAGTCCATGTTTAAAGCATGTCTTAACCACCTATGATTTAAAAATATATTATGACCATGTTGTTGCCACCTACAGAATACACCCTGTGGGAAGGGGGATGGAAGTGTTTACTAAATCAATTAATAGCAAATTAGGTTAATAATGAGGCAAGGGTGGAATTGACAATCAACCATCGAACTGCAGAAGGACAACACAGCTGAGCAGATGATCAAGCAGCAGGTATCCCCAGAGAAGTATTGGATGATATCAAGAAGATGGCTTTGAAAGGTTTAATCCAGGTGTCGGAAGGTAGCACCCCCAGTTTGGACTAGCTTGGGTGGCTGCAGCTAAAGCTTTAGGACAATTAGACCATCTTGGGTGCCTGTTAAGTAAGCAAACCAATGCTACTACCCTCACATTGAGTGGCCTGCTCTCAGACATAGAGACCATCAGACATGCTACCTTGCAGAACAGCGGTAGAGTTTTTACTCTGGGCACATGGGCATGACTGTGTAGACTCTGAGGACATGTTTTGCCTGAACCTCTCCAGCCACAGCGAGTCAATCCACAAGAGCATTCAGGTACTGAAGGAAGAGTTCAAGAAGTTTCAAGTGGAAAACAAAGATTGGGTGAATAAACTCTTCCAGTGCAAGGGACTAAAGAGATGGATAATATCTAGCTAAAACAGGACTATTGATTCCTTAGTGGTTGTTTTTGTTGTATTGTTAATTGTCCCATGTTGGTTTGGATGCTTTTAGAAAATCTTACAAAATTCTTTCAGTTCCATCTTTGTTGTGAAAGAGAAAGGGGATAAGATACCCAACACAGGCTCCTCATGGATTCCTTGTAGGAGAGAATTGGAAGCCAGGATGGTACAAAAACCTCTCAAAGACTCAGTTTGGGAAGGAAACACTTTAAAAGTACCTAAAAGTATCCTTAAATCCAAAAAGTACCGTAAAAACTTGAGTATCTCAAGGCATTAATGAGCCCCACTGAGTGTTAGTACAAAGCTCTCAAGAGACTTATTAAAGCAGGTAACTGGGGCCATGATTGCACAAACCTCTCACACTGTGTGTATCAAAAGGGAAACACCAAGTACCATAAAATGACTGAAGTACCCTGAAGCATTAATGAGCCCCACTGAGTGTTGTTACTGACAAAGCCGCTCCAGGGTCTAATTAAAGCAGATAATTGGAGGCCATGACTGTACAAACCTCTCAGAGACTCCAAGGCAAAAGCCAAACCCAAAGTCCTTTCAAAAACCTGCAGTCCCTGCAAGGAGCATTAGGAGCCCCCAAGGCCATTCCTGAGCAAGGCTCCCCAGGGACTCCTTCCAGCAGATCCTTGAGGCCACTGGGATGTGGGCTAGGGGGGCTGCTGAGGGCAGGACAAGGGGCTGACAGTGCCCAGCCTGGCTGGGGCTGTGCCAGGAGGCCCCAGTGCCTCAGGACAAGGTGTCTCCTCCCAGCCCTTGGTGGCACAGATCCTGCTGTGGCCCAGGGCACCAAGACTTGGCTT